CGCCCCCCCGCCGGGAGCCACAGGGATGGTCCCAACCTCGTGTAAGTGCTCCCATGGCCCCGTGGATGCTGATGGCACCAGGGACCTGTCCCTGGCCGTCCACATCCGGGGACGTGGCGCTCCAGAGGGAGCCTGGAAAGGGGAGATGTGGAAGGACAGGGAGGGACACGGGGACAGCAGCAGCCTTTTGCACCCAGTCCTGCTGCTGGGCTGCAACAGGAGGAGGGACAGGACTGTCCTCGAATGCAGGACAGTCCTTGGCAGAGGGTCAAGCTGCACCCGCAGTAGACACTAGCCCACCTAGTACCTGGCCCAGTGGGGAGCGACCACTGGCCTGGGGTGGGATGCAGCCCCTGGCCGGGGGCACAGGGAGGTGCCAGCAGGCACTCACGGCCGCTCCCGCCCCCCAGCCGGTGCTCATGCAGGCCATGTACGAGTTTCGGGGCAGGAACGCGCAGGAGCTGACCGTCCAGAAAGGGGACACGCTACAGGTAAAAAGCGAGGCCGTGCCGGGGTGCAGAGCCGCTGTGCCGAGCCCCACAAGGTGGGCGCTCCCCGGGAGGATGGAGGAGCTGTGCCAGGGACCACCCTGCTCTCAGGGACTGCTATGGAGTCCCAGAGTGGGGGGAAAGCTGGGAGCAAGGAACAGGGGGCAGGCAGGCCACGCTGTCCCCTTTGTCCCCACGTGCCCTAGGTCCTGGACCAGCGGAAGAAGTGGTATCTGGTGCAGAACAGCCAAGGGGAGAAGGGGTACATCCCCAGCAACATCCTGGAGCCCCTGGGGCAGGACTCCATGAGCCAGGTGGGTCACCCTTGTCCCCCCTGTGCCCACAGTACCAGGAGGATTAGCAGGGGGCCTGACCGATCCAGACCCCCACAACGCCACCCCTGGGCCGACCTGGACCTTCTCCCTTCATCCTCTCTTCCAGGGCAGCCCTCCCAGCCTTCACCCCGGCTCCACACCAGCAGAGGTGACAGCTTGGCTAAAGGACAAGGGTTTCTCACAGATGTACGTTGCCCCACTTGCCTCTCCCCGAGTATCCTCGAGCCCCTGCGTCCCCACAGCATCCCAGACCCTGTGGTGGCTCAACCCACGTCACTTTGGCTGTATTGGGGTGTTAGGGGAACACAGGAGCTCCTCCCTCATGAACACCCTTTCCCCATCTCCCTCTCCACCCCCCATGGCAGTTCATCCAGCTGCAGGGGCTCCCTCCGCACCCGGCTGAGCTCAGGGCCACAGGTCCAGCTCCTTACTAGGTGTCTGTCTATCCATCTGTCTGTCCCTGTCCTCCCCCCCAGAACAGTGAAATGCCTCGGCGTCCTCTCTGGGCACCAGCTGTTGCACATGAGCCCAGAGGAGCTGCGAGCTGTCTGCCCCGAGGAGTGGCGACGCATCATCTTCAAGCTCTCGGCCGTGAAGACATCCCTGGGGGTGAGGCTCCAAGTCCAAGCCTTCCATCGCCTTCTCATCACAGCTAGGGTTTTTTTGGAGGGGGCCAAAGCCCAGGGACTCCCTCCTCAGTGCTTTTTCTCCTCTCTTTGCAGATAGGCCCAAGGGACTGAGCCACCAGGGGCTGGGACCACAATGACTCCATCCCCCAACATCCTCCCACTGTCAGCCCGCTGCACCACAGTCTCCCAGGCCAAGCATCCCAGCTGAGGGGGCAGCACCAGCACCGCCACACTTGGGGGGCTCAAAGGAGGGGAAGCAGAGCTCCCCTAGTCCTCCATGGCTCCTGCTGCTTCCTCAGGGCTGAGGGATGCATCCATCCATTCCCTGAGCTTCAAATGAACGTGGCCACAAGGGTAGCAGGCTGCTCAGCTGCTATTTCAGCCTCCCCAGCAGCCTGCTGCACGGGGGGGGGCTCTCAGGTGAGATTTGGGGTCTCCCGGGGGGGTGGGGGGGATTTGTTGCTTGATCCCATTTCCAGCCACCTAGAGAGATAGCAGGGCTGCCAGGCCCCTGGGAGAGCTAGGAACCATGAAACATTCATGCAAGCCACAACATGCAGTGACTACAATGCAAAATAAAATGCAGAACAGCACCACCACCGAGGTCTACGTGCAGTCACGGCAGGGGCGAAGCTGGCTGTTGCCACCCTGCCCCCAGAGCCCTCATGCAGCCAGTTGGCTCCCAGCCCACGGGACACCTCCAAGTCCCTAATCTGAACAACCCCCCTCCTGCCCAGGGGGTCTATAGCAGGGACAGGCTCATGGGACACTATTGTCCCCTGCTGGCCTCCAGCCCACCCTGGCTCAGGCAGGGGAGGCTCCCAGCTGTGCAGCTGCTGGCAGGGCACCAAAGCCCCAGCCAGCTCCTTCGCCAGCTCCGCCTCGTTAGCATGGAGGAATGCACTAATGAGAATGCTTCAGGGCAGAGGATGAGCCACTGTCCCTGGGGAGCAAGGAGAGGACTACAGCCCCTCACCGCCAAGGAGGGGGAGTGGAGGGACAGCACAAAGCTCTGCTCAGGCCCTCCCAAACCCCTGCCTGTCTCCACCAAGCTAAAGGGTGGCCAGGGCACCCTTGGGTGGCAGGGATGTCCCCACTCACCCCACCCTCTGCCCCATGTCACAGGAAGGCAATCCTGAGTGCTTTCCCCCCCTCCCTCCAACCCGCAGACGCTCAGTAAGGGATTCCAGCTGCTGCATCTAGACATTTTATTGCTTTTGGGGGCTGCCATGCAGGCCCCACGGCCAGAGAGCACTTCACCCCAGCGGTGCTCGCCCAGCCCCACTACAGACCCCATCGGTGGTCCGTCCTGGACGGGCAAAGGAGACGCTGGCTTGTCTCAGCCGGCGCTGTGCCCCTACTCCTTCTTGTTGCCCCACTTGGCCATCTTGTTGTTGATGGGCATCTTCAGGAAGCGGCTGGATTTCATGTAGGCAGCGACCTTCTCCAAGGCCTGGGGGAGGAAGGAGAGCACTCAGGACTCCTCCCACCAGGGCTTGCGGGACACCCCTCTGCCCCAGGAGGGCTTGAGGGCCTTGACACCCTGGAGGGTGTCAGACCTGCCCCAGAAGGTCCTTCCCCACGGGGATCCAATGGAGACCAAGGCCCACAGGTGACAGTGCAGACAGAGGTTTCAGGGACCCCAGAGCAGCCACAGCAGAACCCAGATGCACCTCGCACCACAGGGCTGGGCACCCAACTCACCCCAAAGCGGTCCATGAAGTCCTTCAGGTTCTTGAATGGCTCCAGGCACTTGGGTTCAAATATGCGGTTCTGATCCAGCACATCGAACATGAGGAAGTCCACAAAGGTGAGCTGGGCAGGGAGCAATACAGTGAGGAGCACTGTGGGGCCAAACCCCCTTCCCAGCCCCTGCTGCCCTCCACCAGGGTCCAGACCATACCTTCTCCCCTGCAAACCACTTTCTGTCCCCCAGGAAGTTGGAGAAGAGCTTCAGCTTCCCTGGCAGCTGCTCCAGGTACCCTACCTTCAACTTCTCCTGCAGAGGGAAAGGAAGAAGGGGTGGATGCCCAAATCCCCACACTCCACTCCCCACCACCCCAGGAGACAAGGGCCCCTTCTCCAGAAGAGGCCCCTAATGCTCCCAGGTTAATCCAGCCCCATGCCCTAGGGCACAGGCAGCCCCGTGCTGCTGGGACAGGTGACCACAAAGCGCCACAGCACAGAGGTACTCACAAAGTCAGGGTTGTAGCAGACCATCACCAGGCTCATGCGGAAGTCCATGATGTGGTTCTCCAGCATGTCCACACGGACGAGCTCCTCCTCCGTCTCGCCACCTGCGGACCAGGCAGACGTTAGCACCATGCGGGGCCACCCCTTGTCACAGCCTAGCCCAGCCCCAGCCCCGGGCACTCACACATCTTGTGCTTGCGGGCGATGTAGCGGAGGATGGCATTGCTCTGGGTGAGCTTGGTCTTGCCGTCGATGAAATAGGGCAGCTGCAGGGGACAGCAGGCACATCAGCAGGGCATCTTCCACCCGCCCGGGACGCCGGCTCCCAAACCCACCCCCGTAAGCGCTCCCTTGCGTCGAGGCCACCTACGTTAGGGAAGTCTAAGCCCAGCTTCTCCTTCTCGTTGATCCACTGGCTCTTGTCATAGTCGGGAGCTGGAAGGAGAGCAGAGGAGGGTCACCCCGCGTCCCCCAGCGGCACGCTCACCTCCCACCCCAGAGCTGGCACCCTCGGGGGCCACCTCCACCAGGCCCGGGAGAACTCAGGCCA